TTTAATTATGTGTTTGAAAGGAGCATGAGGGGCATGAAGAAAATTGCATTAGCCTACTAAATATACATTGCATAAAACTATACAGGAATTTATTTATTTATTTATACGTGTGTGTGTGTGTGTGTGTGTGTGTGTGTGTGTGGGTGTGTGTGTGTGTGTGTGAATTTGTGTGAGGATCTGAGGTAAATAGGCCTGTTCTTGGAGTTAACTTCTCTTGCCTGTGACGGTGTTAAATAGTACTTTGCCCATGGTGTCAAAGCCAAAGGCAGAAAATCCTTAATCACAGTTTAATTAAGGAATCATCTTGTAGATTAATTTCTTTCCCAACACTGTAATTAAACATTTCCAATAAGTTTTCGTCACAGGGCTTAACACAGGCAGCCGGTCTGTGATCAAGGTGGGTCCAGGGACTTGCTCTCTTGTCTCTTTTCTATTCTCTCCAAAGAAATGAGCATACAATCCCACAGCAGACACTTGAAAGAATCCAAAATGAGAAACTGCACATTGGACTTACAAGGAATAAGGGTTTTAAATGAAAGACATTGAACAGCTGCTGCCAGTGCAAGAGCCAGTTTGCTACAGTTTAGCCATTTGTACCCGCGAAACCCCTAAGCTTTGATGTCTTTATACAGGTGAAATGGCCGGAAGTTTAAAGGTGGAACAACAAGACAGTGACGGACAAGAAGAGAGAGTCCAACCAAGCCCACTGACAGCAGAGGAATGGGACGGCCCATGTAAGACAGCCGTCCAATCACGTCTCAACAGTCTTAGCATATCTTACATTGGTAACACTTTATTTTGACAGTCTAGTTTAGATATTCTACTAACTACAGTGGCATGCGAAAGTTTGGGAACTCCTTGCAGAATCTGTGAAAATGTGAATCATTTTAACTAAATAAGAGAGATCATACAAAATGCATGTTATTTTTTTTATTTAGTACTGTCCTGAGTAAGATATTTTACATAGAAGATGTTTACATTAAAAATTGCGAAATTATTAAAATAACCCCATTCAAAAGTTCTTAATACTGTGTGTGGTTACCTTGATGATCCACGACTGTTTTTTTGTTTTGTGATGGTTGTTCATGAGTCCCTTGTTTGTTCTGAACAGTTAAACTGAGCACAGTTCGGTAGCGCTTTGAAGATGTTTACATTAAAAATTGCGAAATTATTAAAATAACCCCATTCAAAAGTTCTTAATACTGTGTGTGGTTACCTTGATGATCCACGACTGTTTTTTTGTTTTGTGATGGTTGTTCATGAGTCCCTTGTTTGTTCTGAACAGTTAAAGGGGTCATATGATGTTGCTAAAAGGAACATTATTTTGTGTATTAGGTGTAATGAAATGTGTTTATGCGGTTTAAGGTTAAAAAAACATTATTTTCCACATACTGTACATTATTGTTTCTCCCCTATGCCCCGCCTTTCTGAAACGCGTCGATTTTTACAAAGCTCATCGGTCTGAAAAGCGAGGTGTGCTGTGATTGGCCAGCTATCTAGTGCATTGTGATTGGTCGAATGCCTCAAGCATTGTGTGACGGAAATGTTACATTCACTGATGCTCCAGAAGGAAACACGATGCATTAAGAGCCGGGGGTGAAAATTTTTGAACAGGATGAAGAAGTACAATTTTTTCTTATTTTGTTTAAATATGTACTGCCCTTCAGAATGCCCTTCAGAAGCTACAGAAGACACTTGCATGTTTCCCGGAAGACAAATTAAGTACAGTTTACCTTGATCTTCATGCTCTTAATGCATCGTGTTTCTTTCTGGAGCATCAGTGAATGTTTGAACCTTTTTTAATTGTTGTGTTTGAGTCCCTCAATTGTCCTCAGTGTGAAAAGATGGATCTCAAAATCATACAGTCACTGCTGGAAAGGGTTCAAATATGCAAAATATGCTGGAAAACTGAAGAATCTGCAGGACTGTTCAGAACAAACAAGGGACTCATGAACAACCATCACAAAACAGTCGTGGATCATCCAGGTAACCACACATAGTATTAAGAACCAAGGGTTCACAAACTTTTAATGGGGTTATTTGAATAATTTCAGCTATTTATTTCTTGTGGACTAAATGTAAACATATTTTATGTAAAATATCGTACTCAGGACAGTACTAAATAAAAAATAATATGCGTTTTGTATGATCTCTCTTATTTTGTTAAAATGATTCACATTTTCACAGATTCTGCAAGGGGTTCCCAAACTTTCACATGCCACTGTATAAGTAACTTCACATGTCAACTAGCAGTCATTAGAATATTAGACTGTCTGCATAATATCTGCCAACACTTTATTTTGATGCTCCCCAACACACATAGAAGTACATAGAAGTACAACTTATTCTATTAACCCTAACCTAACAGTCTAGTACTCTAAAGAGGGTTAGTTGACATGTAGTTGCAAAGTTACATACAGTATATTTAGTAGAATGTTGAAAATGGACTAAAGTTGTAATACAATGCAACAGATAAAAACAGATAAAAAAAAAAAACACCTTTTATATGCCACAATTGCACAGTATAAGACGGAGTAAAGTGAGCCTGAAAGGTGCAGCTGGATGATGCACTGTATTAAGCCTTGTCCTCTTTAAAAGCATGAAATCTAATAATGTAATAATGCCATTTTGGGAGGTGCTTTATCTTGCGTTTCACACTAGATTTACACAATACAGTCACTAGTGCCAAACTGAGCTGACTTGCCTCAAATCTTTATATCTGATCACGGGTCTTTGTAATCAGTTCTTGATGATGAGATATCACAGCACACTGATATTCACGCTCTTTGTTGCAGTCTCTATCTCAGGATTTCCCTTTCTCTCCCTCCAGTCATCTGAATAAACATGATTAGTTCAGTTACAGACTCATTCTAACAATAATGAGGCACAGTGTTTTCTTATCTGATCAGGAAACAGTGTTTTTGTCTTCTCTGAACGGTTCGAGTCTCACTATGCCAAGCCAATAGACACAGAATATCCGGAATTGGTGTTTTTTGTGTGTGTGTGTCATATCTGGGACCCAACATCTATTTTGTGGATGCTTCACCTCATACGCCTCTAAAACAAGTGTTTGCTATAACCTGTGCATACTGTAAATTACCATTCTAAAGTCTCTTATGCTTACCAAGGCTGCAAAAAATACAGTAAAAACAGTAATATTGTGAAATATGATTACAGTTTAAAATAACTGTTTTTTATATTTAAAAATGTAATTTATTCCCAGTCTTCAGTGTCACATGATCCTTCAGAAATGTAATGCATCCTTACTGAATAAAAGTATTAGTTTCTTTTTTAAAAATCTTACTGACTCAAACTTTTGAATGGTAGTGTATTAATATTTGTTCATAACAGTGGTATCACTGTAAAAATGTAAAACAAAAAATAGCGATGCAGTTTTTGTTTAATCATTGAAAAGAAGTGGCAGCTATGCTAGTTATTTGAATGCATTTCACTAGTGTTTATAAATTCATAGAGGAGAGAGTCTTCCTTGCTACAGTAGCACAATAATCTTATTTGCATATTCATTTACCCCAGTGCATCTTAACAGGAAACCTTTACTGTAGTAACGCTTTTTCAACACACATCACACTCAATCTGTACTGTAAGCAAGTGTCGTGACTCAACAAAACAAAGGGTGCTTGCAGTGAGAAAACTGAGCGTTTCATGAGCACAGATATGTTAGATCCATTTGGATGTAGTTTATACAGCAGTTTGGATTTCCACAAGCACAGCTAGACTTGCATGTCTGATTTAGAAATACCGTTGTAGTGATGTAGTTTTATCATGTTCACCACACTCTTTTTCTTTTGTGTTTCGTGACCCTCCTAACCTGCCAGATCCGTCACTAGTCCTTGTTCCCTGACCTCATAATTTACGAATTAAAGCATTGCCTGGAACGACTTCCAACATCTCAAATTGAATTAGCATCTGCAGTTATAACTTCCCTATGAATATTGCAGTGGAACAGGGAATGACTGTCAAAAAAAAGAGTGAGAGATGTTCGAGAGGAGCCCGATTCTGTCCAAGGACTTTCAGAAGAAGGCAGGATGGAGTGAGGGATTTAAATGAAAGTGTAGTGGATTAGAGAAATCCCTGGAACAATATGAAATCATTACAGCCGCAGTCGACATCAAAGTCCCACTGACTGAGCCCCCTAAAGCCTTTTCACACAGGGAGCAGGAACACAGCGGAGAACATGTAAACCGGAGCCGAGAGCAGCTGACCACTGCGCTCACATCCAACAGAGAGAGAGAGAGAGAGCGAGAGAGAGAGAGAGAGATGTACGGAGTCCAGACTTCTGACATTTAGACAGAGCATCATGGGAAATTAACCAAATCAAACTGAGGGAATTCATTATCTCACTGGCCTCCTTGTTTTTAGATCGTCTAGGCAGATATTCTCAACTCTTTTAAAGGAATCAGTTCTGACTGTGTTCAGTACAAAACAAACTTAAACTCATGGACAGCATATGTGGCAGCTTTTGTCGTCCCTCAAAACAAGCATAAATCGCATTTTACAAGTAATGCACTTTCAGGGAAGGTCTATGGGGGCAAGACATATGAATGAATGAATGAGGCATTTATACTCTACATTTCACTTTGACAAACATTAAAATACACACAGCCACATGACTTCAACGTTATACATGTTAACATGAGACTAGAGTGATAAAATTACTTACCTTGTTTGTGTAAAGTTAGATCCAGTTTTCAACTCCTGTCATAAACACCCAATATCAGTAAACATTTTTCTGTTTACACAGAGAAAATTAGAGCAGTAGCCCCACACTAAGTGAATGATTTAGACAACTTAATAAACAACAATAAAAAATATAAAGCATGCATTTCTGCTTTTAAAGTTGGCATAAAACTGATCTATTTTTTCTGAAGTTGAAATTACTTAACCAATTTGATAAAACTTACAAATTTAAGGCAGCAACGGAACTTAAGTTTTTAAGTTGAAGTAGGTGGAAATTTTTACAGTAGTTACATAATTAAGTACTGAGTAATATTAATTAACAACAAGTATTTACTAAAGGGTTAGAATTTGGTTTAGGTTTAGTTGCCTGTAATTATGGGCAATTTAGTGTTATTACTTTACTGTATGTATAACAAAAGCATTGTAAAATACCAAATGTTATCAAACTCCGCCTCTTTCCTTCAGTTGACCCTTTGTAAAAACCTGCTCCCCTAGTTACGGTTGCTATGTCCCACAAGCCATGGCGCTCTCAGGCAGTAAAAAAGAAAAATATATGCGCATATCCAATATCGCGGAGCAAAGAGGAAACTATCAACGCGCCGATAGACAAGACAGAGCAGGTTACTTTTGGTATGAAACAAAACATTGAAACATTTTTAAGAAATTCAGACAGTAAATACTATTTTGTGGCTCTTCCATGTGTCGTGACCATAGACTGTATAAAAACACGGACGTAGTGTCCGTGACGTCACCCGTAGGTTTCTGAAGAGCGTTTTTGAAGCTCAAAGTGGGCGGAGCCGGCTGTCGCCATCTTGGCAGCGCGTCACCGTGCGTCACTCCCGGATAATTGAAAATGGGCAAAAAGGCGGGAGCTGGTTGCTGAAACCACGCCCACCTAGCTTGACGGTGGTGACAGCAGCGGCAATCCACCTGTCACTCAAGTGGCCACGCCCTTAATTATGCAGAACTTTAAGGCTTAATATAATTTAAACGGATGACTTATAAAAAAATTCACCCCCTCACAGTTGTCATGAAG